ACACATCAATGAAAAAGCATGTTTTACCCTTGTTTGCTTTATGTATTTTGATTTTTTTTTTTATCAGGGAGAACAATTATAGAATGCTTTCCAGCATGCATTAAAAAATGAAATTTTATGAGTTATTGTTGCCTTAAGTTTTATAGAACCAACCGGTGCGTTCAGTGCAATTCCATCCCGCACTTACCATCCACCAACCATCCTTCTGCATTCAGTTCCTTTCATTGTAGGTAGTTAGATGGTCTGTATATCTGCCAGATAGACAATTAATGAATGGTCATTTAGCCCTGTTTGTGGATACCCACCACCCTCTTTATATTTATTGCCACTTTTGAAGACAGTTGAAGGATCAAGGAGATGGAATGCAGGCTGTCTATTCGCTAGAGGCCAGTGACATCACTGACTGTGCATCCTTTCTATTTGCTAGTAACAGATGACATCATTTAGAATCCAACCTGTTCATTTGTTAGAGCCTACCAATATCACTGAGAATGCAGCCTATCCATTCACTACAGACCGTTGACATCACTGAGAATGCAGCCTATCCATACAATACGGATGATTGACATCACTGGGAATGCAGCCTATCCATTCACTAGAGACCGGTGACATCACTGAGAATGCAGCCTATCCATTCACTAGAGACCGATGACATCGCATCAATAGAATGCTATCCATTCACTACAGACAGAGACATCACTGAGAATGCAGCCTATCCATTCACTAGAGACCGGTGACATCACTGAGAATGCAGCCTATCCATTCACTAGAATGCTGTCCATTCACTAGAGACCGGTGGCATCACTGGGACTACAGCCTATCCATTCACTAGAGACCGGTGACATCACTGAGAATGCAGCCTATCCATTCACTAGAGACCGGTGACATCACTGAGAATGTAGCCTATCCATTCACTAGAGACCGGTGACATCACAGAGAATGCCTCCTATCCATTCACTAGAGACCGGTGACATCACAGAGAATGCCTCCTATCCATTCACTAGAGACCAGTGTCATCAAATGCAGCCTATCCATTCACTAGAGGCCGGTGACATCACTGAGAATGCAGCCTATCCATTCACTAGAGACCGATAACATCACTGAGTATGTAACCTATCCATTTGCTAGATGCCGGTGACATCACTGAGTTTGCAGCATCACAAAGTGATGTACACTATATGGCTAAAGGTTCACTGACACCTGATCATCACACCTATATGTGCAAGCTGGACACTCCATTCCAAAACCATGGGCATTAGTATTGAGTCCCCCCTTGCAGCCGTAACAGCCTCCGCTCTTCTGGAAGCTTTTCCACAAGATTTTGGAGGGTGTTTGTGGAGATTTGTGCCCATTCACCCAAAAGAGAATTCCTTTGGTCAGGTAGTTATGTTGGATGAGAAGAATTTTGAGAATTGGAGCTCCAGTTTATCCCCAAAGTGTTCAGTAGGGTTGAGGTCAGGGCTTTATGAAGGCCATTCAAGTTCCTCCACACCAAACTCTTCAAACCGCGTCTTTATGGGGCTGGGTTTGTACACAGGGGCACAGCCATGCTAGAACAGAAAAGGGTGTTCAACAAACTGTTACCACAAGGTTGGAAGGGCTCAATTGTCTAAAATGTCTTTGTATGCTGGAGCATTAACAGAACCCTTCACTGGAAACGCCTGAACTCAATAGCTTGGAAGGATGTCCACATACTGCTGGCCAAAAAATGTACCATGTATATTTCAGGTATGTGGGTGACTTCCTGGGCAGAGGATTTCAGTTTACTAAGAACCAGAACCAGGAAGAAACGGGTTTAAGTTATGACACTTGTTCCAATGACGAGCACTATATATGTAAGGGTTTTCTCCCGAGTTGGCGGCTTTCATTGTGAAGTTCTTTTCCTCTTCTGTTTATACAGCAATCAGAAGAGTCTATTGAGCCCTGATCCGCCCCACAGATAATAAATGACATATTTTAAAAGGAGTATGTACACTGACATTGTACTTCTGGTGTTCTGTTTCACCAGCAAAACCGCAGGGATACCTTGTGTTCATATTTCATTGACCATGACCGATGGCCGCGCGGTGTTTCCAACAGAGATTATAATACAAAAGAAATTAAAATAAAAAGAAGAACGAAAGTGAGAGAGGAAACTAGAAGCTCAGGGTACAAAGTCGAGATGTATCGGTTCGCCAGCGATAGAGCATCTAATGTCTCTGGTGGAGCCGGATGGTCTGCGCTTTGCTTCAGTCTGAAGGCCTGTGTTTGTTCTGCAGCATTAAATTACACCTCAGCTTCACACTTTGACAATGAGCCAGTAACTCGGGAGAAAGAGATCCTGCTGTATATACTCAAGGTCTGCCCCAGTGAAAGTAACCATGAAATCCACAGACGGCCTCTGCAACCCATTTACAGTATAGTTAACATCAACCCAATCGCTAAAATCTCATCTAAGCTTCAAATATTCAATGTCGTTCCAAAAGGCTTTTTCTTGTTTACATTTTGAGCTTTCTTTCAAATAATAACTGGTGATCCTGCCAGGAAAGTCATCACTTCCTGTTATAGAGTGACGTGACAACGCTCTGTTACTATCTTTCAATTGCTGTGTTGTCACCTTTTTCAAAGAAGGTAACAATAAGGCGTTGTTGTCACCATCAGGAAGCTGCTGTAGAGCAATGAGGTGCAGCCCATGCTGGAGCGAGTGCCCGTTGAGAGAAAGTGCCTGAAAGCCGTTCAACTTAAACCTTCGAAATAAAGAACTCTTACATATAAATGCAGCACAAATTTGGGAAATAAATGCAGTCTAAAGGCTGATTCAGGCTATTGTGTTGCAGTAAAACACGTGTGTGACCATGGGTTACTGCAGCGCATGGTTATGTGCAAAGCTAAGTGCGCTGCATGACATAGAAGAGTGACAGCAGAAAAAGTCCACTGTATGTGTATATGGGCTTAGTGCTTCTCAACCTTTTTCAGTCATGGGACCCTTTAAAAGTATGCAAAATCTTGAGGCATCCCAGTTTAAAATATAAATGTGTAAAACAAACACTTGTGGTCCACTCCAAGATCCATACCAGACCCTTATCCTAGACAGGAGTCTGGTATGGATTGTAAAGGGAACACTAAGCAGAACAATAAAGGGTTCCCCCTTGACATCAATGTCCCCACCCTTTCACATTAGAGGATTCCCATTCACACAAGAGTCCCCATCCCTTTACATCAGAGGCCATCCCTTTCACATCAGAGCCCCCCCCCCCTATTAGGAGCCCCCTTTTCACATCAGAAGACTTCCCTTCACATCAGGAAACACAGCTCTGGGAGCAAGACAGAAGGTAGGAGGCGGAGAAGGCCTGAACGGAGAACTATCATCCTCTTCTGAATGGATCCCACCCTCCCTGGGTTAAACGTAATGGCTTCCCATGGTGCCGGCCAAACATTTTAGGCCCCCCTGAGGTAGAATTTAGAGTCATCCCTTCACATCAGAAGCCTCCAAAAATCAACTACTCTTTGGGGAAAAAAAACCCTAAACTTTATAAGGTTACTTTTGGACTTTCCTCCTGCAAGTTTGAGGACTTGTCCCCGTATTCTTGATCTTAGCTTTATATTGATAATACTTCCCTCTTGAACCTTATTTACATCCTTGGTTTTTAAACTCACATACTGCTGACTGATTCACTACCTGTGTTGGATGTCTGTTCCAAGCACCAACTACTCTTTCTGTAAAATAATAGTTTCTAAGGTTACTATTGAACTCACCTCATGCTAGTGTGACGTCATGTCCCCGTGTTCTTGATTTCAACTTCGTATTATAAATACTGCCCTCCTGAACCCTATTCACACCCTTCATGTAATTATCGATTTCAATCATATCTTCCCTTTTCCTTCTCTTCCTCAAGATGGAGAAATGGCTTCCCAGTACATATCACGACACGTGTGTTTTTTAGCACAATGCACGGATGTGATCCTTCTGAGCCATTGTGTTGCAGTCCCTGTGCAAAAAAACAGTGCATGCCCCTTAAAAAAAAGCAGTGTATTGGCAGCCCACAATAAACAAATGTGCTGTCTTAATTCAAAATGCGTTAACAAGCAAAATACAAATTGTGTTGAACATGTATGTTACTAAACTTGAAAACTCTGTCACAATATTTTTTGCAGTTGAAGTCTCTTTCATTGGAACATTTGCATGTCACTCTACTTTTCATTGAGTGTTAATAGTTGTCCTAAAGTTAAATTACTTTCTGAATTAAACACAT